TGTTGTTAATAGAACAGAAAGACCTGTAAACCCTAAACCCTAAACCCTAAACCCTAAACCCTAAACCCTAATATTAAGGAGTGTTTTTTTTTGTTTTCCTCTTTTTTTATATAAAAAATAAATAAAATTAATTTACTTTAGTGTCTCCTTACCTGTCTCCTTTTGTCTTCTTTTACTGTCTCCTTTTCTCTTTTTTATTTGTCTCCTTTTTCTTTTTTCCTTCTCCTTCTTCCTTTTTTTTCTTCAGTTATTTCTTTGTTGGAGTCCATGGCTAAAAGGAGACAATTCCCCTGTGGTGTCTATACACCCCATTAGTTGTATTGTCCCTCCTTTGTCCTCAGCAGAAGTCACGTCCGTAAACCCTAAACCCTAAACCCTCATAAACTAGAATAAACCCTAAACCCTAAACCCTCATAAACTAGAATAAACCCTAAACCCTAAATATGTAAACCCCTCTTTGAATTACCACCCTGGATTGTTGATTTAGGGTTTATTAGGGTTTATTAGGGTTTCCTAGGGTTTAGGGTATATTAAGGTTTCCTAGGGTTTAGGGTTTAGGGTTTAGGGTTTAGGGTTTAGGGTTTAGGGTTTAGGGTTTATGGGTGTATATATAATTAGGGTTACATGGCGTGGTGGTGTTGGTCAAGGATTAATAAGAGAGACAATTGAGGGTTTAGTGTTTCCTTCCTCACAAATACAACAAAATAAGATAAAAAGTTATAATATTTGGTTACCTTTATTGTTATCTATATATATAAAAGGGCCTACTTTTGTCTCCTTTTCTTCTTCTTCTTCTTCTTCTCCTCCTCCTCCTTTTTCTTCTTCTTTTTCTTCTTCTTCTTCTCCTTCTTCTTCTTCCTTTTTATATACACAACAATCTAATCAAGATCTTATTACTATTATGCCTCATACTATTAGACTTACTCCATGCGCAGTCGGTAAACAAATATACTAAACCCTAAACCCTAAACCCTAAACCCTAAACCCTAATTTACCCGGAACCCTAATTTGCTTTAGAATCTAATATATCCTAAACCCTAATAAACCCTAATAAACCCTAAACCCTAGAAGGCGAATTGATATCAGAAGGGTTTATAAAGTATCTGACGTTGACGTATTGGCATATAAAGATAAGTGTTTAGGGTTTAGGGTTTAGGGTTTAGGGTTTTATAATTTTAGGTCAAATATCTTGGCAAATAATACAAGTATATAATAAAGGAGACACTTCTTCCTTAATTGAATTTTATAAAGAAGAAGAATCAACAAAAGAGAGACAAAATAATTCTCTTCCTGATGATCTTAAGTAAATTTCCTAAACCCTAAACCCTAAACCCTAAACCCTAAACCCTAAACCCTAAAAAATCCTAAAAACCCTAAAAAAGCCTATTAACCTTTGCTAAACCCTAATAAACCCTAGTAAACCCTAATAAACCCTAATAAACCCTAAACCCTCGCTGCTGTTTGTGCTACAGGATATGGCCTGAATGGGCATGCATACCTGCTGGGGGTTTTAATTTATTTTTATTAATACATAATCCAAGTGTCTCCTCTGGTGTCTCCTTTTGCCGATTAAGAAGATATAAAGTTATAGATCTAAAAACCCTAACTGTCTCCTCACAAACCCTAACTGTTCTTACACAAGTACAAACACCAAGTATTAGTGTTACTGATAATCCAGTAGTAAGATATTAGGGTTTAGGGTTTAGGGTTTAGGGTTTAGGGTTTGGGATTTAGGGTTTGGGATTTAGGGTTTATTCTCCGATGTTGGCGGAATGTATCTCATACAGATACTTAGATTTTGTTCTAATGTATTCTTTTTAGGGTTTAGGGTTTAGGGTTTAGGGTTTAGGGTTTAGGGTTTAGGGTTTAGGGTTTGTGGTGTAGGTATTTGAATTGGTGAGTGTTGGTGGTTTAGCTCGTCGTTTGTTATATCTAAAGAATGACGGAGAAATACCCTTGAGGGTTTATGCAGCAATAAAGGGACAGCAGCAGCAGCAGCAGCAGCAGCAGCAGTTGGTGGATGGCGAGACATCACCAGCAGCAGCAGCAGAGCAACAGCAGCAACAGCAGCAGCAGCAGCAGCAGCAGCAGCAGCACCAGCAGCAGCAGCAACGGCGAGCACGACGGACATATATAATAAAATTAAGAAAGGAGACAGTTGAAGGAGACAGTAAAGAAAAGGAGACAGATAAAGAAAAAAAGGCAGGAAAAGAGACAAAAGGAGCATCAGCAGCAGCAGCAACAGCAGCAACAGCAGCAGGAGCAGCAGGAGCAGCAGGAGCAGCAGGAGCAGCAGCAGGAAAACAGCAAAAGGAGACAGATATAGATATAGATAAAAAGGAGACAGATAAAGAAATAGAAGAAATAGACATAAAGGAGACAATAAAAGAAATAAAAGAGACAGAAGAAGAAGAAGAAAAAAAAAAAGAAGAAAAAAAAGAAGAAAAAAAAAATGAGGAAAAAGGAGACACAGAAAAAGAGACACTAGATCAAACCCTAAACCCTAATTCATTCAATACGCCTTTCTTAGTACAAGTTGGGGACATAGATAAACCCCCAAGTATACAAACCCTCATGCTGCTGCTGCTGCTGCTGCTAGTGCTGCTGCTGCTGCTAGTGCTGCTGCTGCTGCTGCTAGTGCTGCAATAAACCCTACAGTAAATGTTCCTGCTTGCCATGTCATTCCATTGAAATATGCCTAAGGGTTTAGGGTTTAGGGTTTAGGGTTTAGGGGTTTAGGGTTTAGGGTTTAGGGTTTAGGGTTTATGAATATGTTTAGGGTTTGGAGGTACAGAAGGGGAGGTATTAATATTAGATAGGAAAGAAAGGAGACCCTTGTCTCTCTTCTTTCTTCCTGCTGCTGTTGGTCCTTATGAAGGAACTTTGCTGCTGCATGCAGAGGCACTCGTAAATTTACTCCTGCTGCTGCTGTTGCTGCTGCTGCTGTTGCTGCTGCTGCTGTTGCTGCTGCTGCTGCTCGGGCTGTTGCTGCTGCTGCTGGGGCTGTTGCTGCTGCTGCTGGGGCTGTTGCTGCTGCTACTTAGGCTGGTGGTGCTGCTGGGATTGCTGTTGCTGCTCGTGTTGTTGCAGTTGCTGCTGCTGCTGCTGCTGCTGGTGTGTGACTGTTTCTTTCTTTGTATCCCCTTGTGTCTCCTTTTGTCTCTTATTGTCTCCTTTTTCTTTGTGTGTCTCCTTGCGTCTCCTTGTGTCTCCTTGTGTCTCCTTGTGTCTCCTTTTGTCTCCTTTTTATTGAATAGAAGGAGACAGCAGCGTGGTTACCCGAGGAGAAATACAAAGAAGGAGAAACCCTAGAGGAGACACTTAGTCTATTAACTCAGTGTCCCCAAACCCTAAACCCTAAACCCTCAATAAATAAAAAGGAGACACTAAACCCTTATTCTGTCCCCTTATATGCAAAAGCTGTACAACCCCTTCTTCGTCTTAGTCATTCTTCCCTTGAATTTGGTCCCCTTCCTGTTGGTAGTAGAGTTACACAACAGGTACAAACCCTAAACCCTAAACCCTAAACCCTAAACCCTAATTCGTAAACCCTAAACCCTAAACCCTTATATTCAAAGCTTAACTCAGAAACCCCAGTAGTCAGTAGCGAAATGTTTAGGGGTTTACTATCATCATTGTCTCCTGGGAACACAACCTTTGCAAGAATTAGGGTTTAGGGTTTAGGGTTTAGGGTTTAGGGTTTAGGGTTTAGGGTTTAGGGTTTATTGCAGGTGGTGGTATCTAATCCAACGCATGCAGATGTGCGCTATCGAGTTGTTTGGCGTTTTGTCTCTAAAAAGGAGACACTTGAAGGAAAGGAGACAGCAGCAGCAGCAGCAGCAGCAGGTGGTGAGGAGACAGGAGGAACAGCAGAAGATGAGGAGACATCATCAGCATCAGCAGCAGCAGCAGCAGCAGCAGCAGCAGCAAAGGATGACCCATCATTAGTATCAGCAGGAGCAGCAGCAGGAGGAGGAGCAGCAGCAGCAGAGTCTCCTGCTGCAGTACTAGAGGTACATAAATCACAGGAGACACTTGCTAGCTGCTGCAGCAGCAGACTAAAATTATTAGTCTCTACCCTCTATCCTGGTCCCTTTTCCTTCGAGGTGCTGCTGCTGCTGCAGCAGCAGCAGCAAGAGGAGACAGATGCAGCAGAAACAGCAGATATTGCTAATAAACAACAAGAGTAAGCAGACACAAACAGCAGCAGCAGCAGCAACAGCAACAGCAACAGTTGCACAAAGGAGATATATCTGCTACATCCCTAAACCCTAAACCCTAAACCCTAAACCCTTGTTTGCTGTTTTATATTTTGTATCTCTTGCGTACAGCAATCTGTACTTGCGTCTTTTTCTGCTGCTCCTGCTGCTGTTGCTCCTGCTCCTGCTGCTGCTGCTGCTGCTGCTGCTGCTGCTGCTGTTGGTGCTGTTGCTGCTGCTGCAGTATCCTTCCTCCTCTTGCCCGTTTATTAGTAACTGGCGAGGGTTTACTACCTCGTGTATTCTTAGCAGATGTTAGACCCTTGGCTAATCTTTCTTCTCCTTTTTCTCTCTATGAAGGGTTTAATGCTCAATATATTAATCAGTACTATATTATAACCCTAAACCCTAAACCCTAATAAACCCTAATAAACCCTAATAAACCCTAAACCCTAAACCCTAATATACTCTAATATACCATACTCTACCCTAATATACACTAATAAACCCTAATAAACCCTAAACTCTAATATTCCATATATCCTAATAAACCCTAAGCCCTAAACCCTAAACCCTAAACCCTAAACCCTTTCCTATATATATCTCTATATATATTTGTGTGTATATAAAATTATATGTATAGATTATTATGGAGTCCCTTATCAGCAGCAGATCGTCGTTTTGCTGCTGCTGAGGGTTTACTAGAAAGAAGAGAAGCCCTTAAGGGTTTACCAACTATTTCTTGTGATTGTTCCTTCTATGAATATGATTACGATCCCGGGATCGGATCCGGGATCGGAT